GGTAAAGCAGCGGAGCTTTTATTATGCCACAGTCGAGCAAAATATATAACACTGTTCGAATTAATCGATAAATTCTGAAAAATAGCCCAGCCCTACTTTTACCCATAATATTTGAGTAAATACAGCTTTAAGAGCCTCTGGATTATATGTGTAGTTCAGTAGTTTTATGTGAGCCTCAGACGAGGTTTGTGCGGCGTCTGATGCTCTGCTGGTGGTCTACAGAGCTGTTCACCACGGAGGCGTCTCACCTGCGGACGCTGCGGGTTCTGGATCAGGTGTTTTATCAGAAGATGCAGAGCGTCCTCAGTCCAGAAGAGCTGTCCTGCATCTTCCTGAACCTGCGCCACGTCTACGAACTACACGGTCAGTGCTTATTATACATTGCTATACTGTGCAGTTACGATTGTTTTCACTGTTGTTATCACACTTACATTTGTCATTGTTCATGTTTGTGTTGAATGCTGTATATTATGTCTAGTAAGGTGTATATATATATATATATATATATATATATATATATATATAGTGGGTACGGAAAGTATTCAGACCCCCTTAATATATATGCATGCAGGATGGAAATGATAATAAGACTTGACTTGAAAGCTTGTGTTACAAACCAGTTCGCTATAAATCAGAAAATGAACTTTGAATGCAGTATTATAAGTTGCTCTGCTGAATGCATACGTGTATTACTTAAGGCCTAATGTTGTTTTTCTATCCCAGCGAGCTTATGTGAGGCCATGAAGAAGCGCAGGGAATCGCCGGTCGTTCAGGGCATCGGAGACATCATGCTGGCCAGAGTGAGTGTCTCGCTCCTCTTTTGTTTTGTCTTAGTTAAGTTAAAGGAATAGTTCATCAAAAAATTAACATTTGCTGGAAATCTACTCTCTCTCAGGCCATCCGAGATGTTTGTTTCTTCATCAGATTTGGAGAAATGTAGCATTGCATCACTGGATGCTCTGCAGTGAATGGGTGCCATCAGAATGAGAGTCCAAACAGCTGATAAAAGCATCACAATAATCCACACCACTCCAGTCCATCAGTTAACAAAAGCTGAAACATTTTTAACCTCAAACTGCTGCTTCCATAATCCATAATATAGTTTCATTTCTCCTGAATCGGGAGAGAAATCTGCACAGATCAAGCACCGTTTACAAGCCAAAACAGCTCTAAACAAATATGTGGGTGGATTTTGATGTGAGAGGACAACAGATGATGAACTTTTTCACTGGAGGAACTATTATTATGGATTATGGACTATTATATTAGCCTTAAACGTTAAAAACACCTTAATGGTGGGTTTGTTTCTCATAAACACGCAGCTTTTTTCTTCTCCAGATGTTAACTGATGGACTGGAGTGGTGTGGGTTACTTGTGGATTATTGTGATGTTTTTATCAGCTGTTTGGACTCTCATTCTGACAGCACCCATTCACTGCAGAGCATCCACTGCTGAGCAAGTGATGCACTGACACGTTTCTCCAAATCTAACAAACTCGTCTACATCTTAGATGGCTTGAGGGAGAGGAAACTGTCAGCAAATGTTCATTTTTGGGTGAACCGCTCCTTTAAAAGCAATGCTTTTGCTCACGAAGCGTACGAGTCATGCAGTATGTGTGTGTTGTAGTTGGAGGGAGAGGCTGGAGATCAGTTCGAGGAGCAGGTGTCTCATCTGTGCAGTCAGCAGAGTCAAGCGCTGGAGCTCATCAAGAGCAAACGGCGCAAAGACCCTCGCTTCGCTCACCTCATACAGGTAAGGCGTGCACCAGTGCTTTCCCAGGTCATCCACGGATGATACGGCTGTGTGTTGATGTTGTGTGCTGTCTGTCAGGAGTGTGAGGCCAGTCCTCACTGCCGCAGGTTACAGCTGAAGGATCTGCTGGTGGCTGAGATGCAGCGCTTGACTAAATACCCTCTGCTGCTGGACAACGTCATCAAACACACAGAGAGTGAGTGAACACACACACACACACACACATTAGGATCAGTAGGATGTGATGAAACACGCAGTGCTGGCTTACGATCAGGCTAAAACGAGAGATCTTAGAAAGCATCATTTGATGCCTGTAGTTTGGAACATGAAATATAAATGCATTTATTCAATTATTAATGGTTAAAATATTGTTACTGCTATATATTATTGGTGTTTTTTGTTATTAACATTTTAATAATAAATAAAAATGTAAATTTTATATATAAATACTTGTTTTTATTAGTGATTAAAATATTTTTATTGTTATATATTAGTTTTTTATTCAAATTTTAATAATAAATAAAATCATAAATACAAAACCAATGTACTGACTCCAAACTTTTGCATGCCATATATATATATATATATATATAAGATTTAGAATGTTACAGAAGATTTCTATTTCAAATAAATGCTGTTCTTTTGATTTTTTTTTTAAATTAATTCATGAATCCTGAAAAAAACTAAATTCATTGTTTCCACAAAAAAATCAAGTGGTTCTTTTGAACTTTCTATTCATCTGTGAATCCTGCAAAACAAAAGGCATCGCAGTTTCCACAAAGATATTGGCAGCACAACTGTTTTCTAATAATCAGAAGTGTTTCTCGAGCAACAAATCAGCATATTAGAATGATTTCTGAAGATCATGTGACCCTGAAGACTGGAGGAATGATGCTGAAAATTCAGCTTTGCATCACTGGAATAAATTACATTTGAACAGACATTCAAATAGAAACCATTTTAAATTGTAATAATCTTTCTCAATATTATATTTGTGTGCAGCGGCGTCTCCGGACCTGCAGCTGCTTCAGAGAGCTCAGGCCCGTTGCCGTGGGATACTGCAGGCTGTTAATGAGGTCGTCAGGGAGACGGAGCACCGGCATCGGCTCGGCCAATACCAGCGCAGGCTGGACCTGACGCCTCTGGAGCGGCTGGCCAATCCCGTCGCAGCACAGTTCAAGGTACGAGCCGTTCACGGTCCTTCGCGAGCCCCGTCCTCTCATCACTGACAGTAACACCACTCTTCATGCTGTCGGTTCTCTCTCAGAATCTGGATCTCACCACTAAGAGGATGATCCATGAGGGGCCTCTCACGTGGAAAGTCAGCAAAGACAAAGCCATCGGTAAAGATGTGTGACGCACATGGACAGAATCAAAATGCAATTAACTCAAAATCACCATAGTTACCATAGTGTCTGCTAAAATGCATTATTAATATAGGTGTTTTTGCTACAGTAAAATGCGGTAATGCACATTTTTGTAAAGGCAGTTTCCTATGTTGACTTTTAGATGTACAGTTTATATATAAAAATATATGTGACTCTGGAGCACAAAACCAGTCTTAAGTCGCTGGGGTATATTTGTAGCAATAGCCAACAATACATTGTATGGGTCAAAATTATAGATTTTTCTTTTATGCCAAAAATCATTAGGATATTAAGTAAAGATCATGTTCCATGAAGATATTTTGTAAATGTCCTACTGTAAATATATCAAAACTTAATTTTTGATTAGTAATATGCATTAAGAACTTCATTTGCACAACTTTAAAGGTGGTTTTCTCAGTATTTTACTTTTTTTGCACCCTCAGATTCCAGATTTTCAAATAGTTGTATCAA